CCCCAAAACCCCAAAACCCCAAAACCCCAAAACCCCAAGACGCTAATTTGGAAGTGAATTAATATTAAGGAGAGGAATTAAATATATTTAGAAACAAATTCAAAAGATGATGTCCAATTTATATTTTAGTTAGTCTTAAAGAGAAAATCAGGCTTTTCCTTACAGATAGAAGATTGATTGGAAAAAACAATAGCATAAAATAGACATGATCATTTAATAATTCCCAATTACAAATACTGAGGGTCAAAAGTCAAGAATGTTTCTTCCTAATAAGTCAGGCTTTGAATAAACATTCAAACTTAGGACATAATCTAATTTCGAAGAGGAGTCTACAACTAATTATGGTGTATAATCCCCAAATTAGGAATTTAAGTTTAAATAAATGCATTAAAAGCCATCTCTTATAGAGAGAGTAAAGAAGATTTTTCCATATTTACAGGAGAACGAGATTATGTAAAAGGAGTTAAATAAAATCAGAAGAATCAAAAGACCTGATTTGCCAGGCTCTTTATAAAAGAAGGTTAACTAATTCAGAAAACAAACGCAGACACTTTCACCTATCCAAGGATAAAAAAGTTTGGATGATAGGCGATAAAATCAGTAATTCAACTTTGATAGTCTATAGTATTCATTAGCAAATAGTATGATTTGAAGAAACTCAAATCAAATAAGGTATGGAACTCCAAATATTACTTAAAGGAAAATTTTCATTATTGAGCCACCTAAAGATTAGAAAAACGCTAGTAAAAAATAAAAAACTTTAAAACCTAATACTCACGAAAATCCATTCTTGACTCTAAAAATCAATAGAGGATAATCAATGAGTTCAAAAAATAGCCTTTCTTAATTCGATTACTCTCCAAATTTAAGATAAAACACTTAAACACCAATAATTATCTAGAATTTGACAATAAATAACTTTAATGTTAAAGGAAAAAGCAGAATTAAATTATCTAAGGAAATATAATCTGAAAAATTGAAGACAAGAACAACGATAACTTAAAAACTTATAGAAAATTTCAGTAATCAATTGCCAAATGACTCGTCATCAACATCTCCGATATGTGTTGCATTAAAATAAAGTGGGAACTTCAGTAAAGAATAAGAAGGAGGGAAAAGGAAAAATGATCTTTAGATATTACCAATAAACTCTGAATAATTTTAAACCATCGAATTAGCAGGTGAGGGTCATTTTGGTAAAGTATATAAAGTAAGTTATGATTCGAGGAATATTGATTATGATCAAAATAAGTACACCTTGAGTCTAAACGATGGCATTTATGCACTTAAAGTTATAAACGTTTAATAATCAGCGCAATTAATGAGTCTAGAAAACATATTTAATGAAAAGATAAATATGCAGAAAATTAGTGATCACTAAAAGCTACAGACTGTTAAAATGTTCCCAAATTATTTCACAAGTTTCACTGAATAAACAAATCTTTTCATTTTAATGGAGTATATAGATGGAATAGACCTATATAAATACTAGTAGGAGTACTTAGTAGATCTAGATACAGCTAAGTACTTTTCCTCTGTGATACTTAAAATGATTGAATTCCTGCATAATTAGTACATTATTTACAGAGATCTCAAGCCTGAAAACATTCTCATTGAGAAGTCAACAGGTAATCTTAAGCTTATAGATTTTGGCCTAAGTAAATAGCTTTCAAGGCTATAAGGGAAAAATAGGACACAGACTAAATGTGGAACTCCATTATATACTGCTCCAGAAATAGCCTAAATATAGATTGGCACAGATAATGATGATATTTAGGACTACACCTTTGCATGTGATCTATGGTCTTGGGGAGTTTTATTGTGTGAATTTATTGGAGGTTACAATCCATTTAAGGCAAATGATGTAATGCAGATATATGATAACATTCTTAAGCTAAGAATAAACTGGCCTAAAAATATTGATAACTTCTCACGAGATATTCTCTAGAGAGTTTTAGTCTTGGATCCCTCAACACGAATTAGTCTAAGAGATATGAAGAACCACAAATTTTTCTAGGTATGTTTATTTTACATGTAATTTATTAAAAGGGAGTAAACTGGAATAATTTATCAGAAAATTTCCAAGATAAAATAAATGAAATTAAAGTAAAGAGCAATAAACTGCAAATAAAATACCAACATAATGCCAACAATTAGCAGTAGAATACTTATGGAAATGATGTCCCATTAACTATTAATGATTTATTTTGAATCTACTTTATTTCATTAATCAATATGAATTTTAAATGCCGGGGTTTTGGGGTTTTGGGGTTTTGGGG